ACATATTTGATATTTTCCAAACTTAAATTTGAAATAGATGGTGCAGTAAACGTTTTTATTCGTTGGATATATGTCATCCTTTGAACTTTATCCCCACCAATACGAAAAAACCTTCGGATTGTAGCCTCAAGACGTTTCTCTAGCTCCCTCAAGTCGGTCACATGGAGATCCGGGATATGAAGATGGCGGAGAACCAGTTTCCTTCTTCCCTTTGTTTTTCTTTTTTGGTGTCTCTTGCACTGAAACTGTGCGGATATAGCTGTTTTCAATCGTGTCAATAAAACAATTGTTTTCTTTGACCGTGTTCAAGACATCGCTCTGTAATAATGAAAGCCAGGCAACGTTAGTATCATGCAAATGCGTCTATGAGCCTAATGGTATTCATTATCAAACCATTACCTGAAAATTCATGAGCGCCGTTATGTCTCTAGCGAACCGTTCCATTTGGCTGAAATTCTTGGGGTATCTGATACATGCAAACTCCTCGTACAGGTACAGTATATTGATGGGAGAGGTCGAACCATGTATCGTATGTACATCTGTCCATCTTACAGAGATATTATATAAATAAAAACTTTTTTTACCAAGTATATGTTAATGCGATGCCAATACTCACTCACGCTTTGAATTGTGTACACCCGTGCCTTTTTACAAGGCATTTTTTTGAGCAATTTTGTTTAAGGTTCTCATGGCGTTGCGACTCAACTTCACTCTATCTTCATAATCTTTGGACATAGGGGCCTTTCTACCGAAGGAAAACTCAAATAACGCCAGTATCTGATGAGTTTGCTTCGTCAGAAGAGCCCTCATGACTCCATCGATCTTGCGTTTACTTGTATCGGGAGTGAGAATTTCGATCCTGAATTGAGTATAGGGTAATTAACAATATAATTCGAGTATTGAACGCGCAATTGACATTTACCAAACTAAATCCACTTCATCTTGATGCATTTTGAAGAGTCTATTAACGATGTATACAATTGTATCGATGTCAAATGTCCTTTCCAGATCAAATGCGTTTGACTCTATATTGTTTGGGGATTCCAAACGTAACGAGCTATTGACAATCGATATCAGTAACCTTTCGGAGAATTTGGCCTCAAATAAAGCAAAAATACATACAAATGTTTCATTATATCTTGCGCGATATCATGCCCTTCGTCAAAGAAGGAATCAAACCGCCCTTTAACGAAGGACTTTCGGACCTAATTAGGGACTTGCATACATCACGTGAGAACTGGTCACAATACTCCTTGAACTCGGGTGTTGGCTTCCAAGCTTGTTTCCTTAATACCTGATCTAACCATGATTGTTGTTCTTCATGCAATGTTGATTTTATTTGTCGCTTCGTATCTGCATCTGTTAAATCAATTATTCCGTTAAGGAATGTTGAATTCATGAAGGTTTTTTCCGATTCTAAATCCTTAGATTTACGTTGGTTGAGAACATCAAGTAAAGTATTTCGAATGGACACCTCAGTGTCATTCAAATTATTTACTTCCTAGAATGTTGGACAGAGATTAGCTTATTTTTCATATACAGGTGAAGCAAAGCTATACATAAAGGGTAGCAAATGCCACAGTACTTGATTGAGGTTCTCAATTTCTGTATCATTCGGTTCAGCATCAGTGTCGTCTGAATCAGAAATTTCTTCTGCATCAATTGCCCCGGCATTGGTGTCTTTCCAATTATCACTAGTTTTTTCCTGCGTACATCCGAACGATAGAAAAAAATACCGTGAATAAAAAATCAAGTTATATTGCGTAATACCACTAACATTGTTAGCTTTTGTCCTTTTTGGTGGCGACTCCTGCGACTTTTCTTCATAAAAGCGAGATCGCTTACGTTCTAACAGTATTGCCAATACATATTATTATTCACAGTTGAATAAAAAGAATTATATGAATACAAAATATATGAAAATTTAAAAGTGTTACCAAAACATAATTTATCTTTAGATTGTCTCGCTGACATCATCATGTAAATCAGACACTCTATAAAGAATCTTGTTTTTAATGAGATCAACGGCTGTTCTCAACATTTTTAGGAAAGACGAACTATTGCTCCAAAGGTTAGTGACTATATCCGAATTCGCTTCTTCCTAAATGAATGAAAAAGAAAAATCCCTGATAATGTTCAGACGTATCCAACATATCAAAGTGCAACCCGCCAGACGTATCCGTTGGACTTTCA